CAAATGGTTTTTGTTTTTGTTTTTGTTTTGTTTTGTTTTGTTTCCGGTACTGGGAATTGAACTCACGACCTCACGCTTTCCAGGCAGGCGCTGTGCCACTGAGCTAAATCCCCAGCCCCACAAATGGTTATGATTACATTGAAAAGGGTTCTTAATAAAAACAAGTACCAGTTATTTTTACCGTATAACAAATTAGTCCAAAACTTGGAAAACAAGTATCAAACATTTGTTATGTCAATGTCTTTGGTAAGGAATTCATGAGTGATTCAGCTAGGTGGTGCTGGCTTACATCTCTTACGACATTACTGTCAATATTGTACATAGTATAACTATAAGCAACAATATTGTTCGGTACATTTTGAAAGCTGGAAGAAAAGATGTGAAATTTTTCACCATAAAGAAAGATAAATGTTTAAGGAGGTAGATATATTTAACCTTATATAAATATTATACAATGCGTAAATGTTTGATATCTCATGTTTTCCCATTAAAATGTACCATTTTGGAGTATGAGTTTAAAAAAATAAATTTAATTCTTAAAAGATCACAACTAAGACATTTCTTGAGACTGCAGTCATCTAAGGGCTTGACTAGGGTTGAAGGATCTGATTCCACAATGTTTTACTAATGTGAGCACAGTTACTCATACCTTGGAGCCTTCATAGGGTACCCTGAGTGACATCAAAACATGGCAGATGGTTTTTTCCCCGAAAGAGTGATCGACGAGCTGACAAAGTGAAAGCACAATGTCTTATTGACCTGTCCACAAGTCATTTCATTATTGGAATCAGAGATCACTATGTTGAGCAAAATAAGCCAGACTCAGAAAAATGCAATCTAAAAAGATAAATGTGGAAATAGAAGGGAGACTGTTGTTAGACAAGAGGAATGAGGAGGGAAAGGGGAATAGAAGAGAGAGGAATGGGGGTTGAATATGATCAAAATATATGCATTGAAGCCAGTATTTTTTAAAATTAATGGGCAGTAATAATAAAGGAAAAATAATTACCATAAAAATAAATCTACTAAGGGCCAGTGGGAAAAAAGTTATTTTATCATTTTGGCCACTTTATATTCATCAAAGAAAAGCTACTTAGTACACTCACGAAAAAGGAATATTGTTTCCACTAAAGGGAGTATTAATGAAGAATTTGTAGATATACTTTAAAACCACCATAAAGAGTTTTAATTTTAATCTCTAGTTTGTGTTTATATGATGTGGTCATATGTAGAAAATGATTAATGTGGAGAAGGTTATTTTTTAAATGAAAGTAAAAAAGATCAGACTGGCTTCTGATATGACTAGAACTGGGATTCCTAGAAGACTGGTTCTATCAAAATATGTCAGTGCATATAGATAAACTATGTTCTAAGGAATAAGTTGTTTAGGAGTTTAGTAGGAGAGACAGAAATGTCGTTATAGGCTGGGGATATACTGTAGCTCATAGTTCTTAGGTTCAATCCCTACCACTGCCAAGGGTGTGGACACTTGGAAATTAGATGTCGACATAGAGGTAGCTGTGAAAAAAGATTTTAGGATTTCCCTGTTGAAATGAGGCTAAGCCTTTATATTGTCTGGCCTGTGAGAATAATCAACCACAATCTTAGTATCATTGATAATTTTTTGCATTACCCTGTATGACAGAAGAATGTGCTGTTGTAATACTTAGTGGTCATTGTGATTTTAATTATTATACTGTATTTACCAATTTCATTCTCATTTCACTTCCATGAAGTTGTGCAGTAAAGAAACAGCCTGATTTTTTTGGTATTGTTAGGCTCTGTTGAGCTGCTTTGCTTTGTGTTGCTTTGTTTTGCAGTACTTGGGTTTGAATCCAGGACCATTTAAATGCTAGACAGGTGCTCTGGTCCTGAGCTGCATCCATAGTCCTTTTTATTTTGAGACAGGGTCTCATAGTTGCCCAGGCTGGCCTCCAACTTGTAATCTTCTGCTTCAGACTGAATAGCTGGTATTGCCAGTGTGCACTATCTTGTCCAACTAGGAATTGACTTTGACAAGGGTAGTACAGCAAAATAGTCTAGTGGACTTTACTACTTGGTAGTAGTGACAGAGCTAAAATGAGTGCTTTTGGTATTTCGTTTTAGGAGAAGGATTTTCTTCTATTACCATTTGTTTATATTTATACAGTCCCATATACAATAAAATATATAAGCCTGCAGCATGTAGAAATGGAAATCTGTATCAAACAGGATTAAAACAAGCATCTAACAAGGATGCGAAGCACTGATTAAGAAATTTTTAAGTATATGATAAAGTTGAAGATGTAGATTTCCTCTCATCCGGTAATTTCACTTCTAGGTATAAAAAAACACAGTCTAACAGATATGTGTACTGACTACATTCTACACTGAGTACACAGTAATCTCAAAGGAGACTACTCCGCACATTAATCAAATGTCCATCACAAATAATTTTCGAACAAATAGCTTAAAAGAAGGAAAGCCTTGTTTTGTTTCACAAGTTCAGAGTTTTCTTTCCGTGTTCCTTTGACATTGTTGCCTTTGACGTGTGGTAGGGCAGTACATCATGAGGGGGGAGTATGTAGTAAAGGAATTGTTGACCTCATGACAGTTGGGATAGGGAAAAGGAGGAAAAGGCTGGGATACCAGTATACCCTTTCAGACATTCCTCAGTGACCTAATGTCCTTCCAGTAGCTAATACCTCCTAAACTGCCACAGGCTATTGACTATGCCTCTAGCATATAGCCCTTAGGGGCAGCACTTAAGATCTTAACCACAACAAACAAGTAGAGCACTTTCATGTTTTTTTTTCCTTTGTATGTTAATGTAATTGTTGCTACTCACTGTTTCATAATGTGCTAATGGGTAGTAATACACTGCTTGAAAAACACTGCTCTAGACAAACTCATGCATACACACAAGGAAACATGTCCAGTGTTGTTATTGACATCATTAATAATAAAAGCAGAAATTTAGAAACAACCTAAATGCTCAGAGTGAGATAGTGTATAAATAATTTGTAATATATTCATACAAATGAACACTGAATATGTTTAAAATAGTATATTAAAGCCATACCACTCAGTATAATTAAATTGCAAAATGGTTTGTGAAAAAAATAAATTGGAGAAGTATACCTTCAGGATCTTTATGTAAACTTGCAAATTGTATAAAGCAATACTTACAAATTTAAAACAACTAACATAGGAATTCTCCTAAATCAAAGATAGTTGTTTGCTCTTAGGGATGGAGATGAAATGACAAGAAGTATATAGGAAATTTTCTCCTTAACATTTTACTCTTTAGCTGAGCAGTGGACACACAGTTATTCATTCTTTTGTTTCTATAGTATTATGTCTAAAAATTTATATATTAAGAAAATATCCTAGAGCCCTTAATGTTTATATTAAAAAGATCTAGGAACATCATCTCATAGTTATTATAAATCTATGTACTATAATATCTATGTCTAGATTGGTAAAACTCAGAGTTTGTAGAAGCTAACATTTATGGTAAACTTAGTAGGTGCCACTTGCAATTCTAAGTATTTTACTTGTATTAAGTAATTTCATTCCTACAGTATCTCTGTAAGCTAGGTCCTGTTATTACCACTATTTTACAGGTAAGGAAACATAAGAAAGAAAAAAGTATGCCTACGGTCATGCATATGGTCATGTCTAGTAAACAGCAGAACCAATATTTGAATTCATGATGCCTTGCTGCAGATCCTGGACTGTTAACCCTATACTGCACAACCCCTTTATGAGAAATAAATACAATCAGAAAGTAGAAAAACTAAATATTGTAGTCAGCAGTGTGGCTTTTATGTTAAAGCAATTATAGGAGAATAGAAGAAATTGAGTTATAAGAGCAGGGTCTGAAATACCAGAATTCCAACACTCGTTTTGTCACCAAAGAGAAACAAAAGTGCCTTAGTAATAAAATTTCAGCTAAACTGACAAGATTATTGCCTAGTAAAATGGAGAGTTAAAAATTACTTAAAATTTAACATGTGTTTTAAAAAATTAGGGCTAATAACTTCATGAAAGATGAAGTAAAAGTATCAGCATTATATTTGATCATGATTCAGAGATCTTAAGAGTAGGACTGCATGAGATGCTTATAGTGAGGCGAAGAGCTGTCTGGGCAGGGAGCCAAAATCCTGACATTTGAGGTTATTCTGTCACCACTTCAGAGAACAGTTAGCAAGATTATTCCAATTTTAGTAAAAGTAGATTATTTTTCCTATTCCTCAGCCTAAAAAAAAAAAGATAAAAGACTCATGACCATAATGAAGTAATAAACTTTATTCTATACAAGTAAAAAGTAAACTATATATCCATAAAGTGCCAACAAATGACTTCAGTATTTTAGATTTTGTAAACTATTTTACATTCTCAAATAATACTGGTGTCTGCATGATTTTTTCTTCATAGGGGTACATCTGATTTGTATCCTGGAGAGAAAAATTATTTTCTTTTGATTCATTGACTAAGCTCACTTATAAACAGTTCTTCAGAGAAATAATCTTGAGCTCTATATTATTCTGTACTTGGATATGGATACTCTGGTTTTCTCAGATTTGACATATTTGTCGGCTCCATAATGGCCCAGGCTCTCGGAAAATTCCAAATGTCACTGCATGCCCCATTGAAAATAATAGAGCAGTTGAGTAAAAATAATTTTTGTCATTGTGATGTTGATAGTGTTTATTTTATGAAAACAAAGCAAGATATTCAAATTGTAGGACTTTAAGAGTGTGCATATGTATATATATATAGAGAGAGAGAGAGACACACACACGCACACACACACATTAGAAGTATCATTTATCCCAGGCCTTGGAAGGCAAAGGCAGGATGATTGTGAGTTCAAGGTACACAGCGAGATCCTACCTTAAAAATGGAACAAGAAATAATATTTATTCTTGCTGTTATTTATATTTGTTGTTATTTATTCTTACTTTCAAGCTTTGGATATTAATCAGAGGTTTTTGTTCTCCCCACCGCCCAACAAGTGATGCTATTGCTGAGATTAGAGCCATTTGTATTGAAGAGATTGGAGTGTGGATGAAAATGTATAGTGATGCCTTCCTAAATGACAGTTACCTAAAGTATGTTGGCTGGACTCTTCATGACAGGGTAAGTTACTGTCTTTTAAACTGTGAAGGAAGATATGATTGTCTTAATACCAGCATGGTAGGAATCAAAGTTACAATAGTTGACTTTTTAAGAGTTGTGATAATTTGAAATTTAAAGATGATGCAACATAATAGCTGTAAAGCTTTCTTAAAGCTCAATTGTTTTCTTGATGGTTGTGATGAAATTGACACATTGGTCCAGGTGTGAAGCCCCCTTTGTTACTTAGATGCAGTGCTGTCTTGACTCAAGATTGATGCAGCTGAACTTACAAGTCAATATATGTAGTATCCCAAGAATATATAATTTTAGTCATTTTCTAGTTTTGAATCAAAAGAGATTTGTTTCTCTTAATATATGAGAAATAAACTTTCTCGTTTAGCTTTTCTAGGATTGTATCAGTTTTATCAATTGAATGGATTTGTTCAAGCCTAGAATATTTGATCTAAAAATCTATTTCTACCTCTGACCTTCAGAAAAGGATCTGACTTTGTTTTTTTAATAGTAGGAAGAATTTATTCAGAGAAAAAAAGTTCTGTCTGAGAGGGACAGAAGGTGTCCCAGAAACTGGGTTGCCCACCAACCCTGCTTCTCAAGGGTGTTTTATTGAGCAAAGCCATGAGGTAAGGCAGGCTTAAGGTGGGACAGAAGTGTAACCAATGAATAAGATTACAAGTATAGTCACTTAGGTAACATTGACCCAAGGGAAAATCATAGGATGGGTGTGAGGTGGGACAAAACTATGATCAGCCAATAAGATTACAACAAGTATAGTTGCTTGGGTAATATTGATTAAATGGGAATCAAACTGGGAAGCAAGTCAAGTAGCAAGGGCAGATGGGACAGACAAGGACTTTCCTGGAAGAGGTGGTTTAAGGAGGTTTGGTCCTCCATCCCAAGGTGATTGATGCCTACTTAGAATATCAGTCACTGCTGTTCATCCCTAGGGGAAGTATATTGATGAGTAATTCTTTTCCTTGAAGCCTGGCCTTCAGTGAATATGCCTCCAGCCATAGTTGTCTTCTGCATTGATCTCTGCAGTGCTCAGCCTTGTCTGATTGCCTACAGTATTTCTACCTAACTTAGCTATCTATAATAATTCCCCTCGGAAGAAGTATCCCTAACTGCCATGAGGGGGCAAGGTCAAAGATAGATCTGGCTAATTCCAGCTGAAGAGGGTCATAGTTGTGATCAGCACTCAGATATACTCCACAGAGGGACTGTTTAAAGACCTTCAGTAGATGCTAAGTGTTCTTGTCTTGGGTAGACGTACAGCTTTAAGTCTGAAGGAGACAAGGCCACAGAAACAGTTGTATTCACGGGCAAAATAATACAGTCAAGAGGATAATTATGAATATAGCCAACAAGGTTTTCCACCAGGAGGAGCCAATAATAGCTTTCCCTAAAGAGGATAAGGAGAAGGTCCAGGGAATTCAGAATCTGACATGTCATTGACCTGCTGTCTAATATCTTGAACAGCTCTTGAGACATTAGCAGAAGGATCAGGAACATACACACAGCATTCAGTTTTTATAATTGCACATATACGCCCTTGTGCTGCTGTTAGAATGTCTAATGTCATCTGATTTGGACGATGGCTTGCCTCATTAATTTTACTTCTTCATTCAGGATAGAGAGAGACCCACTGAGTATAGTTAGTTAAGGTTTGGATGTATTGCATGACATCCTCTAACCCTAGGGAAGGGACAAAGATAGAAGCCAAATGATCATACCAATTGAAACACACTTCTAGACCATTGATGTTATAGGCAGCGTAACTTGGCAAGTTCGTCAGTACTTTTGACATGTCTGCCTTGTAGCCATGCAAATCCCAGCATGCATCTTCCTGTCCATCCAGCAGGTAGCCAGGGTCACAAATTGGTTCCACAGGACCAGTGAGTGCCAATGGGGGCTTCCCATCTAATTCCCAGGCAATTAAGCTAGTTTGTTTCAAACCAGTCTTCAGCCTATAAAGTTATTATTGTTAGGTCAGTGAAAATAGAAGTGATTCTTTTGTAAGAATCTGCTTTTAAAAGGAATTATAGATCATTGACTCCAGAATAATTAACCTTCAAAATTATCAAGGATATGAATGATAAATTATTAGAATTTTTATAAAGACCTAACAGTCTATAAATTAAACTGTCAGATATTCAAAAATATAGAAAGAATGTAACGATTTTAAATGGTTACATTCACTTTGAATTGTTAAAAGTGTCATAGCTATCAGAAGCCACTTTATTTTCTAAAATGCATTTCTATTGTTAGAATTTTAAAGACAGATTTGATAATGTAACTTATTTTCTCTATCTTATCAGCATGTAAATCATTTATTTTTTTTTTCCCTTATGGTACTGGGGATTAAAACCGAAGGGCTTCACACTGAGCTACATTCCCAGCCCCTTTTGTTACTTTTATTTTGAGATAGGGTCTCCTCCCTAAGTCTAAATTGCCCAGGGTGGACCCAGTCCTACTGCAGCCTCCCAGAGTGCTGGGATTAGAGACTTATACTTTTAAAATATTGTACTAAGTATTCTCAAAAATATTGTGAGGGTGAAGGGAGGGGAGGTAAAAAGATTTACAATGTGTCTTGTATGCGTATCAAATACCCACAATAAATGTAAACACTATACAGTATTTCATAAACATGAACTAAAAATAGTAACGATAATGAAAACATGGAAAGAGAATCTAGAGACAGGGAAAGAAGTAGAATAGGAATAAGAAAGAATCAAGATGTGTTATGTACATGAATTTCCAATACTTCATGTATTGCAGACATATACTAATAAAACAAAACTTTTTTAAAAAATGAGTTTCTAATATACAATAAAATAAAATATGGATAGCCTTCCAGTGTTATTCTACTTAGGTAAGATCATTTGCTTTAATCCGCAAACCTCCCTACTATTATTCTGTAACTTTAAACAAATAACTGCTAAATGTGTTCTAATCCAATTACAAAATTAACATACAAAAACTCTTGTGAGTATAAAATTATACTAATCCTACATGTTAGGATGTTATGTAAGCATAATATATGAATGTAAATATTTTACATGGAAATAAATATCTATAGAAATATATCTGATATTTTGTTATGTAGTGAAAATAGTTTTAAAAATTGTTTTGTAAAGGGGCACAAAATTATAATTGAAGACCGCATAGGAATTTTATAGGCTACTTTTGTTATGTGTTCGTAGTGTAGAAAGATCATCGCAAATTGGTTGCTTAACTTTAATTTTTTAATTTATGACTTAAAAAGATTCTCTTACAGGACATGGTTGCACACGCCTGTAATCCCAGCACTCGGGAGGCTGAGGCAGGAGGATGGCTGCAAGTTCAAGGCCAGCCTAGGCTCTGTAGTGGGTTCAAGGCCAATCTGGACTGCATCATGAGACCCTGTCTTAAGAAAAGGATTCTTTTCCCTCCCCTAATACTTCATCTAATGGAAAATCTAAATAGTATATAGTGAGGTTTTTTTGTTTTTTTTTACTGAATCTGTACCTTCCCTAACAATTTATATCCTTTTCATTTCAGTAATAAATGCAAAGCTGTAGTCCATATTTTTGTTATCTAATCCCACGTGAACTGGGACCTTTGCACTTAAACCCATCTCAAGTTGATTTAATTAGATTCTACTTCAGTGTGAGAAAATAATAGAATTGTACATTGCACTTTCAAGCATGTATATTCACACTCCTAAATTCAACCAGTTTTTTTTTTATTGGGAACTGCTTTAAAGTTTCATGCTTTAATGCCCTACCACTAGTTCTTCCACCCACCTTGTATTAATCTGAATTTATATAGCATTTATCAGTTTTAACAAAACCTCATGTGCAGATCAAATTTGGGAAAAAATTGATTTGAGGTTGCTTACCAAAAAGTAGCCAACAGTTTTTAAAAAGTCACTGAATTCCTTTGCAGAAATACAGTCTTTAGATAGAGGAAGAGATAGAGATTGCCCTTGTATATGATTGATAAAATCATGAGTCCTATATTCAGTGAAATGGTTTCTTAAACCCCTCTTTATCATCTCGTTACTTTATTTACAAAAGGATGTATTAAATAATCCCCGCTATTCTTTTGTTATTCTCTTTGTATTCTTGCTCTTTTTTTTTCTCTGAGAACTGGTTATTTTCTTTCTCTGATTTTAGTTATCAGATTGAAAACATATCCTTTGTAGGCTATGGCTTCTATCATCAGATTTATCCTGTGCCTCTTTGAAATAAGCTGATAAAACTTTTATCCTAATTATAGAATTTTAGAGATTATAACCCTGTCTAGCCTCCTAAATAAAACAAAGGTTTTACATACAATTTTTATACTATTAGGTTTGGTCAGTACAAAGACAGTCTCTAACAACTGAAGTGGTTGTTCTGTTATCTACTCATTTTGGTTCTGCTGTTAAGGATTATACAGAACATGTATAATTTAAATTACTTTAATCTTTTTGGATTTATACTCATGACCCTGATTGCCTTTCTCTGTTCATTGCGTTTTATCTATATTGCTTGGTACTGTTTTTGCATTGGCCTTTATTTTCCATTGCCATATGGAAGACGTAAGACTGAGTGATTTACAATGAAAAAGGTTAATTTGGCTCACAATTCTGGAAGTCCAAGAGCATAGTCTCAGCATCTACTTGGCTTCTGGTTAAGACCTTCTGATGTTATGGCAGTATGTATGTGCAGGAGAGGAGAAGGGAGATGAACTTCCACAGTAGCTAACCCATTTCTACAAGAAAAACATTCACACCTTGAAAAGGGTAGACCAGTTTGGGCTCAAACATCTCTTGAAAACCTCCAACCTCTCAACACCATCCCATTGGAGACCAAGCCTAAACTTAAGTTTTAATTAGGGACAAGCTACATCCAAACTGTAGTGCCTTGTGTAGACAGTTCTATTTATGTTTTCTTTTTTTTTTTTTTTTTTTGGTTTTTCTCCGGTACCGGGAACCGAACTCACGACCTTGCGCTTGCCAGGCAGGCACTTTTGCCGCTGAGCTAAATCCCCAGCCCCTATTTATGTTTTCTTATATGTGCCCCTCATATCAAAATTTTTGTGTTATTTAGGCAAGATCTAGATTCTTTTTAGCTGACTGTTTTTTCTCCTTTTTCTATTGACTCATCCTATATCCTGTTTCTGTTACGCTCACCCAATACCCTTTCAGGTTTACCATTCTTTGGGTTTTGTTGGGTTTTTTATTTTTAATTTTCATTTTAGACACAAGGTTTCACTATGCAGTTCAGGCTGGCCTTGAACTCACTTTGTAGCCCAGGCTGGCCTCATACTTGCAGCACCCTCCTGCCTTACTCTCCCAAGTGCTTCTATTACAGATGTGAGCTTTACCACTCTTGTCCCTCATCAAAATGATATTACTCTCTCTCCCTTTACCCTTGCCACATGCTAACACATATGTTCCTTGACAGCCCACCTGAAGCTGGTTCACTTCAACTCTTTCACAGTATTCCTATTGAAATACTGTCCTGGCAACCTAAATTATTGTCCCTTAAAAATACAACTCAAAATGAAATCATACTTACCATTGTGTTACATAATACTTTCTATAGCACTTTTACAAAGTAATTTTGCACAAATGGGAATAAAGAATCTGACAAATATGTGCAGTTCACTCCCCCAAGAAATCATTATGTGTTTCTTTTCTCAGTTTTCATACAGTACTTATTGAAAAATATTTACTGAACAGCTAATATGGATTAGATGCTATCTTGAAAAGCATTCAAATTTGAGTAAGATTTTTTGTGCTGGGAAATTATGTAACATTTAGGAGACTATAACAGAAATCACTTCAGAATCATAAATCACCAAAGTCAAGCAATGTGCCAAACAGACCTTTGAATTTTTCATTTTTATAGTGAGGGGGTTTTTTTGTAGTTTTCTAAAAATATTTTCGTGGATACCACCTGTCAGAAGTTCTAATGGTGTGGGCAGGAAACACAAGACTTAGGAGGAGAGATGCTTAACTGGGAGTTATCACAGAACCATGTGAAAATAAAACACAATTATTTCCTTACTCTGTCTGTATTTTGGGGAGTTGCTGCTGTTGCTGCTGTTTTGCTTTGTTTTTTTGAGACAGTCTCCTAATGTAGTTCAAGCTGGCCTTGAGTTCAGTACATGTATGTGGCCCATGCTGGCCTTGAACTTGTGATCATCTTGCCTCAGCCTCCTAAGTGCTTGGATTACAGGTGTGCACTACCACACCTAACTCTGTGGTTTTTACTGTGTAAATTTGTGTGGAATAATTTCATTTCCTGGGCCTTAGTTTCCAGTGTGTATTTAGAGTAAAATCAGTCATGCTATCCTAGATCTGAGATTATAGCTTTGAATTGAGGTGAATAGCCTTAGCCTTTTGTATATCCATTGTTGATTACTATTCATTATATATGTTGCATAATACTTTTATGAGTTTTCTACCTATCTTGCTTCTTGTAATACCATGTCTTGTGAGCCAGTTCCATACAACTCCATTGGCTGGCAAGAGAACCATGAAAATACTATCCATTAGTAGGCAATATAGGCAGAGATTGAAGAATAGCCAAGGAAAGGGATTTTGGTTGGGCATCAACAGCATGTGCTACAGATACTTTAGACTCTTCTGTGTGCTAGAGATTTACCAGAGAATATCTCATTCAGTAATGTGGTAGAAATGACTTGAATAAGAGAGTGATTATATAGATCTCTTCATAATCAGTCAATGATATTTTACTGGGAGCTCACCATTGGCCATGGAAGAGGTATTTACATTATAGAAATCTGCAAATGTAAGAAATTGTTGCCCAGAACCAGTAAAACTTTTAACAGTATACCCCTGCAGCAAATTTATACATTTGAGTACTAATTATGAGTGATTAATATACTTGCCACCTCACATGCATTTAATAAGTTATAGAGTTGGAAATAAAATCTAGGTCTTTCTGATTCTAGAACTTCAATTCCTACTGTATGGCTCAGTACTTCTGTAGCATAGAAATATTGATCTCCATTGATTTCTTTGAAACCTAGATATCTAGATGATCCTTGGTGCACTTCGATCATGAACATCCTTTACTTCAGCTTACTAACTTTATTAAAGACTTTCTGCTAGAAAATAGCACCTCAGGATTCTATACTATGTCGTTTTGTATGTATTTTAAACATTGCATTATTTATTTTCATAATTGCTCTCATTGAAATAGAAAAGGCATCCAGTAAATAGTTGTTGTGTGAATGAATGATGACCCTTCAATATAAAGTTCAGTTTTTCACAGGATTATTCCAGTTATAAGAGAACAAGTAAGCTTAGCCTTTTCTCAGAAGATAATGTTGACAGTACTTCGTGGACAAGACACAGTTAATACCAAGGTTTGGAAAGGATATAGCTTACTGTCAAAAAAAAAAAAAACCTAAGGGATTTTCAGTGTATTTTTAATTAAATTTAAGTTCACTCTAGGCTATATGATTGCTTAGTCTTTTTCTATATTTTTATATTGTGTTACAATATGAATAAGATAAATGATTAAGCTGAAATTTATATTATTCTTCAGAGGCTTGAATTTTCTTTTAAACTTGTGGCATGAAATTAACTGTTTCCTTTGTTTTTATTTGTGTTTCTAAAGCAAGGAGAAGTCAGGCTAAAGTGTTTGAAAGCTCTACAGAGCCTATATACCAATAGAGAATTATTCCCCAAATTGGAGCTATTCACTAACCGATTCAAGGTAAGCATTAAGAATGATGAGCTTATTTTATTTTTAATTTCATAAATGGTAGGTGTAGTTAAATAAATCATATAATAAGTGTTTACTTCCTATTCTTTACTACACATTCTTCAAGGAAACCCATATAACTTGGATGAATTAATCTCTGCTTTACAATATATATACCCAATAAGAGTTCTTATTTGTTACCTGTGGAAGAAGGCTTTCTTGTGTAAAGTAAGAAATTATTTCTATGTTATCAGGTTAAGAACCCTAGTTATTGCAGGCTGATCAGGCCTACAATCTCACAAACAAGTGGAAGGCGAAGGCTTAAATAAATGAGACAATTGAAATGATTATTGGGCTCCAGGAGGGTCTAATTCTCTTACAAAATTTAAGATTCTCTGGGTTAAGACCCAGACTTTCCTGGGCTGCCCATATTTATTAGGTTTTCAAATAAGGGAGGGGATACTGAAGAAAATGCAGGAATCTGGACAGGACTTGGGAAACCTTTTATGGAATTCTCTAAGTATTACGTTAATTTAGAAGAACTATGTTATCTCCAGGAAGGCCTTCACTGCAGGAGTGAGATGCCTGTTCTACAGTCTCCTTTTAGTTAATTGGGGTTGGAGCCAGAAGTCCTCAGCTGTGGCCTTATCTTGTCCTTTGAGGCCTCATGGCTTCACCTACCATTACAGGCCTCAGTAGGAACCAGTGACTCACAAGTAAACATGAAATCAATTGGTTAATGTAAGTCCTACTCAGAGCTGCTTCATAGTGATCTCCATCATTATTGATTTTTATAAATATATTTTTAACTAAAGGTTTTCTTGTCTCATTGTTTAGAGAATGTCAGTTGATGAGAAAGAGTTTACATTACAAACATTAATATTAACACCTTTTTGTTTTGTTTTGTTTTGTTTGTCTTTTTGAGACAGGGTCTCACTATGCAGTTCAGGCAGGCCTTGAGCTCACTTTGTAGCCCAGGCTGGTCTGAAACTCTCAAGATCCTCCTGCCTTAGCCTCTTGGGTGCTGGGATTATAGTAGTGCACCACCACACCTGGCTCCTAACACCCTTTTTGTATAAGTACAACTATGATAATACAGTTTCAAGAGAAAATCTTTGCCTTTGACCTGTCATTGGTGGTATATATTCCTCAGAATATATTGCCTTAGCTCTGTCCTGGCTTAGTTACATTCATGGTTTGTTGTACTACTTTTTTTCAGGATCGCATTGTATCAATGACACTTGACAAGGAATATGATGTTGCTGTAGAAGCTATTCGACTGGTTACTCTGATACTTCAGTATGTATAATGTTGTTAATATTTTTGTGTAATCTTTTGATACTTTAATGCCTCTTTCCAGGCATTGTCAATGTACTTTATGTATATATAATCCTTAAATACACTTACAATCCAGGTTCTGTTTAGGTTCTATTTAAAACCAAGTATTTGTTTTTTTCTCTCTTTGTTTTTCTTCTAGACTATTATCTCTTTCATCCATATAAAAGATCTTTTTTACTGTATAGGGAAAATATCATTGAAGTGACAAACCTTCCTATTTAATACGAAAACAGAGAAATGATTCAAAAGGAAGAACCATCAAAAGTCACAGGTTTCTGAATTAGCCTTTTTCATTGTATAGAAGTGACAGAAAGGAAATCAGGCAGACAATTGTTTTATTAACAAGACAGTTTAAAAATAGATTTTTCAAATAATATCACAGCTTTATCTTTGCAAGTTTGACTAAAACCTAGAAAAATTTATGTGAGCAAATGTGATTTATAATGAAGTTGTTACAAATTCTCCTTTTTCTGCTTTTTATGATGCCACTTCTGTTATGAACCAAATACCCATAACAGGGGAGTACTGTTGTTTGAGCTCCTTTTACTTTTTTGACCTAATGCCATGCTTTTTGTCATTGTGGCTTTATAATACATATGATATAAATATGGCTTCTTTCTACTTTGGGGAGCCTGTCTTCTTTAAAAGCCACTTAACTTTTTTTTCTATTTTAAGAATTTTTTAAATATACTTTTCAAGTAACTCAAAAACTTACTTTAGATTTGGAATAATAGAACTGCGTTGAATTTATGGTTAGTAGAAAAAATTGGAAGTTTTTATTATGGATCATTTATGTATAGCAGTGATAGATATCTTTATTCAAGTATATTCAGTCTCTTACCTATAAGGTTTATATTTTTATAGAGATCTTGTGCTTTACTTAGTTAATTCTTACACATTTTATACTTTTATTGTTACATAATTACTTAGTATTTTCTACTTGGTTATTGCTGAAAAATAGAAACTTTTCATTTTTATGTCAAACTTATATCTGTACCCTATTAGAACTCCTGTGAATTTCATGTTTTCTTGGTTCTTTTGCTTTTCATTTTTGTCCTTTTCTAACATTACAATTTTGTTTGATTCTCCTAAATACATAGCCAGAACATTGAACACTATTAACAGTAATACCTTTTTTTGTCTTTCTATGATTTTTTTGGTGTCTGTAGGTATATACTAAAATGTTCTTTTTTATTCTGAGTTTTTTGGGGACATTTCTTTTATCCATTCACGAACTTGAACTAAATTGATAGTCCTGTCTGATAAACCTCTGTGTATTTCTAGAATAAATTCTATTTGAACAAGCCATATTTCATTTTGTGGTGTTTAAATACAATGTTATATTTAATATCAGGCTTTTCATGTATGTTCTTTTTTGTTACATTGCTTTTATTAAATTGTATAGTGACTATTTTCTCATATTTACTTTATTTCCCTGATAGGAAGTTTAAATTGGTTCCTGTTTGTAGTACGTAGTGGTTGTTTTGTTAGTGGGAAGTTGATACATGTACATAACACATCTTAATTCTTTTTTCATCTCTTCCCAGTCTACTTCCAACTCTCCCTCTGCTCTCCCTCCATCTCTTGCTCCCCTTCCCCTTTTCAAAGGATCTATCTACTTATTTCTATTATCTGTGCCTTATTTTACTCTTTATTTATATTTCAGATTTCTCATGTAAGAGAAATCATGCAGTATTTAAGCTTGTGTATCAGATTTATTTTACTTAACATCATGGTCTCAAGGTACATCTATTTCCCTACAAATGGCTTATTTATCTTCTTTATGGCAGAGTAGTACTCCATTGTATATAAATACTGAATTTCCTTTTGCATTCACTTATTGATGCGTATATAGGTCACTTCTGAGATGTAGCGATTGTGAACTGTGCTGTTAAAAACATTGGTGTGCATATATCACTGTAATGATGTCTTTGACTCAGGCAGATATCTAGATAGGGAATGGCTGGGTCAGAGAGAATTTTATTTTTAGTATTTTGAAGAATCTGTGTATTGATTTCCATGGTGGTGTACTGCAAAAATTCAGCTGTATTCCACAAGAGACCAAAGAGAACAGACGAAGTTTTAGTTTAGACCGGTCACCTCTCATCCCGACTTGCAAGTCAGGGAAGTAGGCTTGAACCTGCCTTTGTTCCCATCTTATATACATTTTTGGTTTCCATGGTAACAAATTGGAATGTTGTAGCCCTGGCCACATGTTGTTTTCCTTGTGCCACCTAACCATATC